AGACTGACCGCTTCTCTGGCATCTCACTCTATGCTTGATTATATTCCCTACCACAATGAACTCAGTTTCACTGGCTAGCACACATGTTCCAAGGGAAGTTGGAGTTTTCCCTTTCCTAAAGGGCAAGACCTGGGTTATCACTGGAAACTCCTATAGTGGCTATTTAAAACATTGAAACTTGACTGTAAATGTTACAGATGTAAAGGATTTTTTTCCATTTTTCAACCAAAGGAGGATGTGTTGGGGAAAGGTAACTGTCTAAAACTGTCTTCTACCATTTAGCTCTTAATTATTTGCTGTCTGGATAAATATGCATATCGATGAACTACATACATTATTTCCACTCAGTCTCAGCTATTGAACAGTTAGACTAGACTATTCATTTTAATCTGGGATCTGCTTTTATTGGAATTGGGAGAGTTTGGTGGATAAATCTTGAATGCCATTTAAGGAGAACCTATCATTAGAAGAAACATCATCTTCTCAGAGTTGATAAGCCTTAAAATGCAAAGTATGTATTTCCTGAAAAATCAGAAAAGTTTGTCTTAGGCTTTATAGAGAAAATAAATGATTTTAACAAATAGGGATGGTCTTCTTTCTTTGGAAAACTCATCCTACATAGAGTATCAAAGCTATTCACCACCCCATTTAAGCTGGTATGCAGAATATCTGAATGACTGGTCAGAGAGAAACTCTCCTTCTCCAAAGTCTGGCACTGGGTTTCAACTATAGGTAAGTGATAAGCTTTTTAAATTATGTTCAAATATTCCTAGACTTCCAAGAATCATAATCTGTTGGCTGATGAATTCTTATTGACTTCTTTTTCTTATGTATTGATTAAGTTCCTAAGTGATAGTAGAAACTAGTCACTGATACACATTGGTCCAATGTTTGAAGCTCATTGCTCCTATAGTGTTATCTTTATCTGTAGGTAATCAATATCAGAGTCTATGCTGTTATAAATTCATATGTAAATTGGAATGCATAAGCAGTGTGGAAATTAAAAAATAATATATATGTTTTCCTTGGTGCAATGTGAGTATAACAAATATTCAAATCTCACAATGTTGTCCTACAACAGGAAATAAACTTACAAAAGAACTTAACTGTGAAAGACTGACTCTGGACTGGAATTGTAGCTCAGTGATAATCTCCTGTCTAGGTGCTTGAGGCACTGGATTCAATATCCAGTAAATAAATGGGTGACTTATCCAAAGTGAGAGATCGACATCTTTATATAAATACCAGTTAAGAGAGTTAACAAGGATATCAACCTTGAATAAAGGACCTGAGAGTGATTTAGATGTTCTAAATTAATAAATGCCAGTCAACCTATTAGTAAGTTGGCAATTACTAAAATTATATAACAGAATATATTTGCATATATGCACACATTTTGCATGCTTTAATGTCCAGTTCTTTAATAGCCATAATATGGGTATAACAAATATTGAAATCTCAAAGACCCTTTTATGAGATTATCAAAGACCATTTTTCCCATAAAATGTGAGATGGGTATGGCATCTTGAGTCAGATAGAGATGCCACTCAGAAAGCTAGTTTAAGTTATTTAACCTTTTTTGTATTTGTAAACAGTGAATTATATTAAAACCTATTTTATAGGACTGTTGTGGAAATTGAATGGGATGACTAGGAGAAACAGAACAGTGCCTGTCATATGGGAAGCATTTCCTATAGATGTCCATTGTGATATCTGTAATCAAAATAAATATATTAGTGTATGTCATGAATTGGAATAACTGAAAGTGGTGATCTAGTATTTAAAAAGTGAAGATGTAGTTTGATTAAGCATTTTAATGATTACTTGAAGTAAGTTACAGGTGAAAATACAAGTTTTGGATACAAGTTCTCAGTAGGCATATGAAAAAGGTAAATGCGTTTAATACACATTTAACCACTTGGTGTCGCTGTCCACCACAAGTTCTTTATCCACAAAAGAAAAGCAACCAGTATTACTTATTCTTTTACGTGATCCTTTTCGTCACCATCTCTGGGGGCGGAAAAAAAAAAAAAAAAGAAAGAAGAGAAAAGGTAACGGAAAGATGTTTAAGATCTGAAGAATAAAGAACTCAAATTATCTTTTAAATTTTTGATCGATGTAAGAGCGACCAACCATTTGGGAAAGGCTTGCAATGGTGTTTTCTTGGCGAGAAGATCCTGGAGCTCAGCGCTTGCTGCTTTCGCTTCTCCTCCTCACATCCTTGGAGGCAGGGAACGGCCAGCTGCACTACTCCATTCCGGAGGAGGCCAAACACGGCACCTTCGTGGGCCGCATCGCGCAGGACCTAGGGCTGGAGCTGGCCGAGCTGGTGCCCCGCCTGTTCAGGGTGGCGTCCAAGGACCGCGGGGACCTTCTGGAGGTAAATCTGCAGAATGGCATTCTGTATGTGAATTCTCGGATCGACCGGGAGGCGCTGTGCGGGAGGAGCGCGGAGTGTAGCATCCACCTGGAGGTGATCGTGGACGGGCCGCTGCAGGTTTTCCATGTGGAGGTGGAGGTGAGGGACATTAACGACAACCCGCCGGTATTTCCAATGGCGGTAAAGAATCTGTTTATTTCTGAATCTCGACAGCTTGGCTCTCGGTTTTCGCTAGAGGGCGCATCAGATGCAGATACAGGAACAAATTCACTGTTAACTTACAGTCTTGACTCCAGTGAGTATTTTACTTTGGACGTCAAAAGAAACGATGAGGAAATTAAATCACTTGGACTCGTGTTGAAAAAACTTCTAAATAGAGAGGACATTCCTGAACATCACCTAGTAATAACGGCAGTTGATGGCGGGAAACCAGAGCTGACTGGCACCACTCAAGTGAAGATTACTGTCCTAGATGTGAATGACAATGCCCCAGCATTTGAGAAGACGTTATACAAAGCCAGATTACTAGAAAATGCACCAAATGGCACTGTGGTGGTGACTGTTAATGCCTCTGATTTGGATGAAGGACCAAATAAGGATATTGTATATTCTTTCCATACAGACATGTCAGCTGAGATTCTGTCGAAATTCCACTTAGATCCAGTCAATGGATACATCAGTGTAAAAGGTAACATAGATTTTGAGGAAACTAAATTGTATGAAATCCAGGTAGAGGCAGCAGACAAAGGAAATCCTCCAATGACAGATCACTGCACAGTTCTAGTGGAAATAATGGACGTCAATGATAATTCACCTGAATTGGTCACCAAGTCACTGTCACTACCTGTATTAGAAAACTCTGCACCTGGCACTGTCATCGCCTTGATCATCGTATCTGATCGTGACTCTGGAGCTAATGGCCAGGTGACTTGCTCCCTGACGCCCCACGTCCCCTTCAAGCTGGTGTCCACTTTCAAGAATTACTATTCGATGGTGCTGGACAGCGCTCTAGACCGAGAGACCACAGCTGAATATAAGGTGGTGGTGACTGCGAGGGACGGAGGCTCGCCTTCGCTGTGGGCCTCGGCCAGCGTGTCCGTGGAGGTGGCTGACGTGAACGACAACGCGCCTGCGTTCGCGCAGCCCGAATACACGGTGTTCGTGAAGGAGAACAACCCGCCGGGCGCCCACATCTTCACGGTGTCGGCGGTGGACGCGGACGCGCAGGAGAACGCGCTGGTGTCCTACTCGCTGGTGGAGCGGCGGGTGGGCGAGCGCGCGCTGTCGAGCTACGTGTCTGTGCACGCGGAGAGCGGCAAGGTGTATGCGCTGCAGCCTCTGGACCATGAGGAGCTGGAGCTGCTGCAGTTCCAGGTGAGCGCGCGGGATGCTGGTGTGCCTGCCCTGGGCAGCAACGTGACTCTGCAGGTGTTCGTGCTGGATGAGAACGACAATGTGCCAGCGTTGCTGGAATCTGGGGCCAGCGGTCCCAGTGCGACGGTGAGCCAGCTGGTGCTGAGGTCAGTAGGTGCTGGCCACGTCGTCGCAAAGGTGCGCGCCGTGGACGCAGACTCTGGCTACAATGCTTGGCTGTCTTATGAGCTGCAGTCAGCTGTGGGTAGTGCGCGCAGCCCGTTCCGCATTGGGCTGTACACGGGTGAAATTAGTACTACTCGGGCCCTGGACGAGGCTGATGCACCACGTCAGAAACTCCTGGTGCTGGTGAAGGATCATGGAGAGCCAGTGCTTATGGCTACAGCCACCGTGTTGGTGTCTCTAGTGGAGAGTGGCCAGGCTCCAAAAGCTCCATCACCGGCATTGATGGATTCCGCCAGCCGGGATGCCTCATCGCTTGTAGATATCAACGTGTACCTGATTATTGCCATCTGTTCGGTATCTGGTCTGTTGGTGCTCACGCTGCTGCTGTACCTGGCCTTCCGGTGCTCAGCATTGCCCACGGAGGGCGCGTGTGGGTCTGGGAAGCCCATGCTGGTATGCTCCAGCGCGGTGGGGAGCTGGTCCTACTCACAGCAGAGGCAACAAAGGGTATGCTCTGCGGAGGGCGCGCCCAAGACTGACCTGATGGCCTTCAGCCCCAGTCTTACACCCTGTCCAGTTAATCAGGATAAAGAGGAGCAACTGGTTGCAGATATTGATTTCTCCATCAAAGTGAGTAGTTCTATTTCCAAAAGGTTCTTGTTTTTATACCTTAGTATTTTCAGTCTCTTTGGTGATGTGTTAAAAGTTGACTTTAGTATTTATATTTTCTAATTACAGTGACTAATTTTGTGATTAAAACTGTGGGTTTTCTTCTGACTAAATTTTGTACTGAATCACAAGTTGTGAGGTCCACACTTACAGTGATATGTTTTGTTGATAAGTACAATAGTAAGTTTATTTAATTGCTAAATGCTTCAGTACAAATGGAAACTGTTTTTGAATGAATTACATTATTTAGAGAATTTGATTCCTGCCTGCGTGTTTATTCAATACCCTTTTCTTCTCTCTTTGGAGATTTCTAATAGGTGCTAGTAGAATTGTCACTGGTCCACTTTATGAATTGAATTAAATGCTCGTTAAATGCCTCCTCTTTTATTAGACTTTTATAGCTTCTATTTCAAATGCTAGTTTATTATACCTGCTGTCTTTCATTAAATACCTTTATTTATTCATTATTCATACTATTTACTTTATGTGTATGATTGTTTTGCTTGCATGTATGTGCACTCATGTTGTGCAGTGCCCGTGAAGGCAAGAAGAGGACATAGGATTCCCTGGAATTGGAGTAACAAAGGTTGTTAGTTGCCATGTGGATGCTGGCAAATGAACTCCAGTCCTCTGCAAGAGTTATTAGTGTTCCTAACAACTGAGCCATCTCTACAGCACCTATTGTTCATACTTTTGTATCCCAGTTTCTCTTTATTCAAATATAAATTTTCTTTAGGCTTTGTGTTCTTACGTCTTAAAACTATTCACATTGTTGGAATTTTCAACTGGGTAAAAATAATAATACAGCATTTTCAGAACTCTATTCTTTGCTTTCCCATAACTTTTATTAGTAATATTTAAAATATCACTTTGGCTAGGTGTGGTGCTTCATACCCTAGCACTTGGGAGGCAGAGGCAGATAGATCTCTCTGAGATTGAGACCAGCCTGGTCTATATAGTATCAGGCCAACTGTGACTGACTACAGGGAGACCCTGTCTCAAAAAGACCAAAAAAGGGGCTAGAGAGATTGCTCAATGGTTAAGAGCACTGGTTGCTCTTGCAGAGGAACAGGGTTTTATTCCCAGCACCCACATGGCAGCTACCAACCATCCATAATTCCAGTTCCAGGGGACCCTGATGCCTCTTCAGGCACTTACATATAAGCAATACACTCATGCACATAAATAAAAAATAATAGGTAAAGTAGTTTTTAAAACACACAAAAAATGATAAAATTAAACATCACTGTGAGGGGCTGGGGAAATTAAGAGCATGTACTCTCTTGCAGAGGACCCAAATCCAGTTCTCATCACCTATAACAAGAAGCTCGCAACCATCTGTAATTTCAGCTCCAGGGAGATCCAACACCTCTAGCCTATGTGGGCACCTGTACTCATGTGTATACACACAAACACACACAGATATACACATGGTTAAACATTTTTTTAAATTAAAAAAATCACTGTGGATCAAAAATTTAGTATTCTAACAGAATATTAAAAATAATATTTTGAATCTTGTGAAAAATTGTTTTCAATTTGATCA